ACTTTATTCTTTTTTCCATCTCTGCTGGTCTTGCTTTTTTTTTTTAAATCCTTTTTCGGCTCTTAAATAGCTTGTGACATCCTTGGAGAGTCTCATCTGCGGAGTAGATGTAGGAACTCTGAAACAGTCGTCGTAAAAAAAAAAAAAAAAAAAAAAAAAAAAGTCGTTGATGATCGCTTACAGCAGTTGTATGCCGGGGCGAGGTCCCACTTGCACGGATTAAGAGATACTGACCGTAGATAGCAAAGATCAACGGCCGAAATCTCCTAATTTGTGCAAGTGGGACCTTGCCCCCGTGCACAGCCAATGCCCAGGTCCTTTTCCTTTTCTTTTGTTCGTTTTGTGCTCTCTTTTCTTTCTCTCTCTCTCTCTCTTTTTTTTTCTTCTTCTTCTTCTTCTTTTTTTTTTTTTTTTTTTTTTTTTCTGCTCTCTCTCTCTCTCACACGCACAAGCGCGCCTACGCACGCGCTCTCGCTCTGCAGTCCTATACTCTTGTGTGTACTCGGCGAGGATGCGGATAGGACTTAACAACCACCAGTACATCCGAAAAAGCAGATCGAGCCTTGTCTAAAAAAAAGGAGGCCATGGACCGTCCATAAAATGAATCGGCGGTTCATGGCCACCTATCTTTTAGGAGAGGCTCAATCTCTTTTTTTTTTTTTTTTTTAATATTACCTGTAGCTGGGAGCATAACCAGTTTCGCTTATCCAGACCAATCTGGGTTTTGTCAGGTCTGTCGATCCGCTTTAAGATCCAATAGGCGGAATATTTGAGGTGAGTGGTCGTTCGTATGGTTAGTTACTCGTGCGGTTTTTATTTCCTGCTATCTCCTTTTTCGGATGTACTAAGAAAGGGAATGAAAAAAAAAAAAGAAAAAAAAAAAAAGAAAAAAGAAAGAAAGGGATTGATGCCTTTCTCGACCCTTTTGGCTAAGGTCAAGTGTAGTAACTGCTCTGATCAGTTTCATAATATCTGATCTGTGATCATCGGGCCATAACAACAACAACAACAACAAAAAAAAAAAAAAAAAAAAAAAAAAGGAATTGGGTGAGTAAATATTTTCATCACCTGGGCAGTACCGAGGCGAGCGAGAAGTGGAGTATATGGCAGGCATCTGGCCTTGACCATGGTTATCATCGTCCGGGGGCCAAGTCCCACTTACCTCAACGATCGATTTCTGACCGCAGATTTGGAAGATCAACGGCCAGAAATCAAGGATCAGCGTAAGTGGGACCTGGCCCCGGTTACTATGTATGATGTGTGATGCCTCACATATTATGGAGATATGCTTCCTTTTGTTTATCTACGTGCAATCTCTCTTCCTCTCTTTCTTTCTTCCTTTCTCTCTTTTCGTTCCTTCTTCTATTTTATTTTTTTTATTTTTATTTTTTATTTTTTAAAATCGTTCCCTTTTCTACGTACGTCGTGCACTTGAATCGCTCAGAGAAACTCTGACCTCTGTCTTCACCTCTCCCCCCCTCCCCCCCTCCTCCCTTTCGGCTTCGGTTCTGTGCTAACCCATTTTCTTTTTTGTGTCAATCTGTTGGCCTCGAGTGTTCTTTTTTTCCCCCCGTTTCCTCTTCTTTTCAAGTCGTAATTGTCTCCTCTCTCAACGGATCCGTACGGCAGATCCGTATGACCGATCCGTACGACAGATCGGTCGCAACTCTCCCCCCTCTAGTGAGTGTTTGGTTGGTTGGTTGGTGACCGGTGGTTTGTGGCCGGTCAAATCGTACGGAAACATTTGGATCCTTAAGGGGCCAAATTTCCCATGTTGTACTAAGATATTTTGCTTACAAGAGTTATGGATACCCTCTATGCCCCCCCCCCTTTGTCTCTGTTGTGAATTTCAGTCCTTGACCATTTTTTGTTTTTTTTCCCCGACTGTAGATTACGCAGATGAATCGGTCAGAAATGAAGAATCAGCGTAAGTGGGACTTGGTTCCGGGGCCGCGCTCCATTACCCAACACTCTACATGTATTTGGACGCTCTAAAGACCAGGTGCAGTGGAACGAGTTCAACATTTAGAATGTATAGGGCCCAGAAAGCGTCCAAATGCATGCAGTATCGCGTAATGGAGCGAGGCCCTCGGGGTTGGGAGGAAGTTAAAAAGAGTGATGTGGCTTTGTGTTCGGATCGGCTTTGTACCGAGAGCCACACCGTCATCGGAGTTCAATTGATTGGCTAGATCACTTCTCTCAAAATGCCAACAACAATGTAGTGTTATTCTAGTATGGTGGGGCGTGACGAGGAAAAGGTGGGAGGGAGGGGGGGCTTGAATTACCTATCGTAATGTACCCTCTCGTGGCTTGGTGATAACCTGATATGTCAAATCTGCTTTTTGTGCCCAACCACTGCCGTCGCACTTTCAGGTGGTTGACCAGATTGCTTGTATCGTAAATTGACCGCAATGTAGTACATACATGGACCGTGACGAGGAAAAGGCGTGAGCGAACTGTCGACGTGCTTGTTGAATGCCGTCTTGTTTTGTTTTCCATATTTCCTTCAAAATCAGTGTTGGCCAGCATATATATGGACAGTCGTATTTCCTTCCGTGCTATTGAAATTTTGTTCATGGTCTTTCCCCCGTGTTGACTGAGCGATTTTTTATTATGATTATTTTTTTAAATATACCGAGCGATTGTTAAGATGAAGAATATTAGGAATAAATAAATTAGAAGCATAACGTATCATTGACGTAATAGAATTGAATGCATTCAAAAAAGTATTCGATTTTTTTCTGACCACAAGTCTATTACGGTGGTGGTCAGATGAGCTAGCTATACACACAAGTCTATTACGGTCAGAATCGGTAGTCCACGATTCTGACCACAAGTCTTTCGCGAATCACAGAGCACCCTCATCAACTGACTCTTATCTATCGCATTAGGGAAAAAAAATAAAAAATAGATATATAGCTTGTGTATAGCTTCGTGATTAGGGTGCGTTGTATTCGGGGAAATCGGAAGTGAAGTTCAGAAACGGTTGTGAAGGTGGTCCAGGCATGAGAAGGATTATTTTACAGTCATTGGGCTTCGCTCCACTACTCTCGAAATGTGCAAAACGAGAGTGAATCTTCCGCTAGAACATGGAAAAAAGATAACAGCGCCATGATTTTTGTCGTTTGTGCATGTCGAGAGTACAGTGGGGCGAGGCCTATTATATCTCTCAGGCTTTTTTTTTTTTTTTACTGCTCGTGCTCGTGCTCTTGCTCGTCTGTGGTTTTGAGACTTGATCTGTAGTGTTGGATTTGCTTTCACATCGAAATGTAGGTTGACTTACATTTGTAATCGTGTCCGATTCGATTCGATTCGATTCGATTCGATTCGATTGGTAAAATATTGACCGCTTAGATATTTTATAAAACTAATCGGTTAAGAAACTTAAAAGAGTTCAAACTGTAACTGATTGGAGTTCAAACTCGTTTGTTGGTAAGTTTATCATTGTAGCCCAGTAATCGATCCGCAGCCAAACGGACTTCCGCAGCCAGACGGAATCGAACCGGTGACCTCGGACCGCTTAGATTTTTTAATAAAGCTAATCGGCTAATCGGTTAAGAGTTCAAACTGTTAACTGATTGGAGTGCAAACAAACTCGTTTGCAATTGTGCTCGTGCTCGTGTTCGTGTTCGTGTGGGGTTTTAACTACGCTGAGCTGAATGTGAATGATTAGAGACGTTTGTGAAGGTGGTGGCTCAGGCAAAGGATGAAAGATTATTGCAGTCGTATCTCTCAGCCTTTTTTTTTTCTTTTTTTTTTTTGCGAGTGTGTGTGTGTGTGGCCTGTGACCCCGATGAACCATGGATCAGATAATATACTGATCATCAGAACAGACCACGGATCAGATAATAAACTGATCATCAGAACAGACCACGGATCAGATAATAAACTGATCATCAGAATAGACCACGGATCAGATAATAAACTGATCATCAGAACAGATACTGCACTTGATCTTAGCCAAAAGGCCGAGAAAGGTATCAGACCTTGTTTTCTTTTTTTTGTTTGTTCGAACTTTCTCGGCGTAGAGGGGGGAGGGAGATAGGGATAACGGGTGAAGGAGGGATAACGGGTGGGGGACGAAGAGCATGGGGAATGACGAGGTGGACGAACACAAGGGTAGGAGATGGAGGACGACAAGAGCGAGGGGCGAGGAGGGGGTGGAGGGGGGGGGGGAAAGGGGGGGAGGAGGGGTAACGAGCTTTACTCTCTCGCTTCGTTCTGTCTCTGTCTCTCTCGTTGTTCGAACTTTCTCGGCGTAGAGGGGGGAGATAGCGATACGGAGTGAAGACTGACAAGAGTGAGGGGCGAAGAGGATGGGGGATGACGAGGTGGACGAACAGGAGAGAACGAGGAGAAGGGGGTGGATGATCACAAGAACGAGGAGTGAGGAAAGGGAAGGGGGGGGGGGGGTGAGGGGAAGGAATGTCGGTGAGTGGGAGGATGTGTATCGAAGAGGGGGAGTAGTGATGCCGAAGTCGGGGGCAATTTTGTTGCCTTTTTCTTATTGCTTTCTTGTTTTCGGTGTTGATAGGACTGTGGGCCTCACTCCACGACTCTCCAAATGTGGAAAATGAGACTGAATACTCCCCTAGAACATGGAAATATACATTGCCGAATTGTTTTTGTCTTTTGTGCATGTAGTAGTGGAGAGTAGTGGAGTGAGGCTCTTTTTCCGATTTTTAATTTTTTGGCTGTTCGCAACTTCGCCGCTTCTGTTCGTTTGGCAGTTGTCAGCTTCATTCTCACTTTAAAAAAAAAAAAAAGCTTCATTCTCAATTGCCGANTGGAGTGAGGCTCTTTTTCCGATTTTTTAATTTTCTGGCTGTTCGCAACTTCGCCGCTTCTGTTCGTTTGGCAGTTGTCAGCTTCATTCTCACTTAAAAAAAAAAAAAAAGCTTTATTCTCACTTGATTGATGGCTCCAGATGTGTGGATGAAGATGAGGAGGTAGAGGAAATGGAGATGGCGTTACGATAACCGCACCCCACGATCGTGAGGTGTACGTCTTCGTTTCTCAGGAATCTGCAGCAAGCAAGCTTTGCAGAGTCCCTCGGATCTTCGTGGCACTCCTCCTTCCTTGGTAATCAATCAACTTCTTTGTCCTCTTTCCTCGGTGGTCATCAATCAGCTTCTTTGTCCTCTTTCCTCGGTGGTCATCAGCGGGTGTTCATCGCGTATTTCTTTTGCCAGTTGTCAGCTCGATTCTCACTTGATTGATGACTGTGGCCAGGTGTGTGGATGCCGATGAGGCAGAGGAAATGGAGGGGGCATAGAGGAGAGGAGGAGGGAGGTGGCCTGGTACAAAAGGGACCTAACATCGATTGGGCAAGGAAGGAAGTGTCTTCCAGTACACAGGAGGCAAGGACGAAGCGCGTGGAAAGAGAGACGTACGTAGAGGCAAGGATACCTGAGCCCCGCCCTGGCCATCTCCTCCGCCTGTCCAGGCATCACCGCCGGCGATGGTGTCCGTGAAGATGGAGATCAAGACGGAACCGGAAGAGGAGGTGGTGGTGCCCATTGCGGTGACGGTGAAGACGGAACCCGAGCAGGTGGACGTAGTATCGCAGGAGATGATGGTGCCCAATGCCGTGAAGTTGAAGGCGCAATCCGAGGAACTAGACATAGTAGTATCACAGGAGACGGTGCCCAATGCGGTGAAGGTGAAGCCGGAGCCAGAGGAACTGGAAATGGAGATGGTGTCACAGCCAAAGATCACCTGTGTTCCGCCGGATCTGCAGCCGAAGGGCACTTGTTCTACTTCTGGTAAGATACCATACGAGATGGAGCGGCTTGCTCGGATAGCTGAGAATCGAGCACGAATGGAGGCTCAGGGGCTGGCCACTGACGTGTCGAACCTCACCCGGATGATGATATCTGTGAAGTCTCATTACACGCCACGTCGGACCAGGAAAGTCGTGGCGGAGAACATGGAGGATGGAGAGGACAATGGTTCGTCGCAGGGGGTGCGATCACGATCGTCTGTTGCTTCAGCGGCGCCTGTGAGGAGATCCCGTCGCCTTCAACATGCAGTGCCAACCCTCCATGACGAGGGTGCTGCATGTGGTGAACTGGATGAAGCGCAAACGCGTGTAAGGAGGGACAATGGTGATGGATTCGAGTTTGACTTTTCTCGTTTTCAGCCTTCTCCTGCCGTCTCTCCTTCCCAAGGTCGTGGCTCTTCTGGAGTTGCGTCCAAGCGAAGGAAGGTTTATGATCTCGAAGCTGTATCTGACCTCCCACAGCCCAGTCAACTCCCGCAGTACCTCCAAGAGCGCAGGTGCAAGTGTAGGGGCAGAGGTAGTGTCTACGACCCCTTGGTGGGGCTTTGTTGCCACTTCTGTAGGCAGAAAAAGCTCTGCGGGGAGGAGGACTGTGAGCGCTGCGGTAATATGGACCTCAGCAAAATGTGTCTCGGGAAAACGTTCTGCCACCGCTGTAAGTCTGCGACCGGCATCTTTTGTCGAGCATGTATTAAAATTAGGTACGGACTGACAATCGAAGAGGTCAGGGCTGACCCCACCTGGCTATGCCCTCACTGCAAAGAGGAGGAGGGGACGGACCCTTTCTTCATCTGTAACAGTTCCATTTGCTTGAAAAAGAAAAATCTTCCTGCTCTTGGGGTCGTCATCCATAGAGCACGCAATTTGGGTTATGCATCTGTTCAACACTACCTCTCGGTTTCGTTGAAAGAATCAGCCTCCACGAAGGTTTCGGACTAGACTGGGAAAAACGAAGGCGCTACTGTTGCCGGGGTTTTTTTTTTTGTTTTTGTTTTTTTTTTTTGGTGTGTGTGTGTGTGTGTGTGTGTGTGTGTGTGTGTGTATCGAACCTAATACCTACCTTCCTCCTTTTTTCATCCGCCCAACCTTGGTTGGCAGCTTCGACTTATCCTCCTCTTTATCTTCTAGATGGGGTAGGTTTTGTGTCATTCCGTCGTGTCGATTTGCAACCATCCCGGCAGAGACCTTGGTTGCATGGCCGCCGTGTATCGCGATTCTATGTAGTGATGGGCGCTTGCATTTGAGGTCAGTACTGTAGATGTATATAAGAGGAAACATCAGTGACGATGAGTCTTGTGCTGTCCGCTCTCTCTGCGGACCAAAGATGGCGTCTTGCTGCTGGCTGACGAGATGATTAATCGGCTACCGACACTTGAAGGGTTAACAGCAAAAGAGAATAGAGAACCGACCTCCTGCGGCAGAGGGTTGGCAACGCAGGTCGCGAAAATGGGAGAGAATGAGCAAGAGCTGAATGTGGTGGTGTGGGTCTGGTTGCTGTTTCTGACAGAAGGCCACGATATTGTCGGTTTGTTGCTGTGAAGCCTCGACCCACCCGCGCGCGTTGCAGTTCAGAGTAATCTGGACTCAGAGAGAAAGCAATGTTAACGAATCAAGAAAGCAATCGTGGCGCAGCATCAGTCAGATGAGGTGAGGTTCGCAGTCCTGTGCTGTCCGGAGAAGCAGCAAGGAAGCTACGGCCACGCAGCAGCAGTCGGAAGACTGCTATACAGTTGCAAGACATGAGGGTTAGCGTTGGGCGGTTCGTAGATGGGAGGGTTCACTGAGATGACGGACAAAGACTTGTAGACGTTGAAGCTCCAATCAACAAGAAGGGAGGGAAAACTAGATGACCTAGTCGGGCGGCGAGCCCCATGGATTTCGGGGAGAGCACTAAACAACATAGTGAGCCCCCAAAATCTAAACCTTGTGTACTAGAGAGAGAGAGAGAGAGAGAGAGAGAGAGAGAGAGAGAGAGAGAGAGAGAGAGAGAGAGAGAGAGAGAGAGAGAGGGCCTCGTGGCGGCCATCTTTCTGCTTCCCTCTTGTTTTCTTCTAGTTACCGTTGGCTTCGATGTGTGTGTGGGGAGCAGCACAGCCATTGTATTCCGAAGGATACACAATCTGCACGAAGACATTGCTAGCAACTAGTGCTAGCAAAGTACAGACCACTTCGCTCCACTGAATCCCTTTCCACTCACCCGCTGACAAGACCGGAGATGGATTCGCACACCCTCCTGCCTGGTGGAGAAAAGCCCCCACTGCTGGTGCTTGACATTGCTTTGTGAAAGGGCCATGAGGCCTTCCTCCCATGATGTCTGCAAACGTCCATCCTGTATCACCTCCAATCCTTTGGCTCGATGCTTTCAATCTTGAATGTCGGCTTACAGTGGTCGGAAATTGTTTTGCAGCATTTCCTCTTATTCTCTCTTCTGTTTGTCTTTTCTTATAGTCTCTTCTGTTTGTCCTTGCCCCTCAGGCTGGTGATTGAGTACCAGTCGGCAGCAACCAAAGCCGCCTCTCAACCTTGTGGGCACAAACAACATGAAACGGACCCTCCTCATCCTTTGCACTCGCCAACTTTGGTCGTCGCCTATGTCGAACTCTTGCCATCGAAGAGATTTACCACACCAGAAGAGCCAGTTTCGTTACTGCTTTTGCGACTCTTTAGCTATTGGTGTTTGGAGGGTGCTGTTATTGCAGCTCTTTTCCCATGCCGGGTCTCAATTTCACGTCTTCCCTCTTGAGCCTCTCTCTCCTGATGGCGCTCCTTCCCTCCCTCCCCCTCCCCCCAATCTGTGGATGGATTTCTATGTGAGTATGCCCCGTCTTTCCCCCTTCTCTCATCTAACCCTCTACCGTCTTCCCCCGAACACAATGCACCTTGGTAACAAATGTATACAAGCTAAGCTTTCTGGTCCGGTGGGTGCAGACCATGCAGCCAAAATGAGGGTGCGTTGTGATCGGGGGGGAAGACGGTAGTTTCATTATTCTGTTTTGAATTCATGTCTTTGATGGAAGTTTGTTTTCACTTCACAGGCCTGCGGTTGGGGTATGTCATGCTGAGGAGGAGAGATGTGAAAACAGCTCTACCCCTGACAAGCTCCCAAGGGTTCTGCTGCTCACTCTAATCTCACTGTGTTGTCGTGGAGGAGCAAAACACAGGCGGAAACGAAAGAAATGGGTGTTCTGGAATCGGGGAGGGAGCCTTGTCAGAATGTTCCTGTACAGGGCAGAACGGCCAGGTGCATGATTTGTAAACTGACTGTCCAAATGTCTAGGTGCCGACAGGGTCTGGCTTGGGATTTGGAGAACCACCAGCGGACGTCTTGCCCTTCACCGCACGAGCACACTCGTTATAGCGATTTCTTTGATTGCTGACATCAATTCTGAACGAAAGTAGAATGCATCTGCATGCTGTTTTCGGTTAGGTGAATGATCTGCGCACCTTAAACCACCAGTAACTTGGCCCAGCTATCGATTCCGAACCTCAGCCGACTGGTACGCTGCCCCGTGCCGAGGCTCGGACTACCGGGTGTGGAGTTCCCGAACGTCGGTCTGGTGGTATGCCCAAAAAAATGGAAAAAAGAAACGAGATCGAAGAAAAAGAATAAGACAAGCAAAAGAAAAACGAAAAAAAACGAAGGAAAAAAAATAGAAAAAACGAAGTATCTCCTTCCGCGTGAGAGACACACACACACACACACACACACACATGCACACACACACACACACACACACACACAGAGAGAGAGAGAGAGAGAGAGAGAGAGAGAGAGAGAGAGAGAGACGTTTTGTTTCTTTCGGAAGTCTTTTTTTTTTCTTTTTCTTTTTTGGCTGTCGGGAGTGTCATCCCGAAAGTGGCTGAGCCCGGCCTTTGCTGGACTACCGGGCGCTGCTATTCGCCGACCTCCACCGAAAGAGGCCTTTTTTTTTTCTTTTTCTTTTTTGGCTGTCGGGAGTGTCATCCCGAAAGAGGCTGCGGTGCATTAACGGGCAAGCCCACGACCGATAGCTGGGCCAAGTACTGGTGGTTTAATCAACTTTAATGACATCCACCGGCCAGTTGCGCCCTTGCATTGGCAGTCTCTGCACTTGAAACTGGACTGGGGTAGCATCTGAAGGGTATACCCTCAACGGGACTTCCCTGGATGTATTTATATGACGATATACTCAGCTCTTGTCACTATGGTAGTATATTATTATAGAAGGAAAAACTTTTATCAACTTGCCAGTCGAACTCTTTTGTCTGGAGGAGTTTGTTTCATCGCTTTTCATCACATCCGAGTCCTTCTGAAGAACACATATCGGCAGCGAAAGGTTATTTACATGGGCTGTGTAGAGAGAAAGCTCCTGCCTGTTACAGCCTGCTCGCCCGTGAAATCTTGCAATGCCTCCTTTTCCCCTCAGTATTGTCCTGATATGCATGCGGTGTCACTGTCTACGTGAACACTGCTGACGTTTGTAAATATGCCAAAAGTAGCCCGGGGCCTCGTCCCACTAGCAGAGTCGAGTTTTCTCAACGCATGTTTGTGGAGAGGTGCAGAAAAAGCGTAGAGTTTTCTCAAACGCACATCTCCACAAACATGTCCAGATTTGGGTGTTGAGTCTGGACATGTTTGTGGAGATGTGCAGATATAGTGTTGAGTTTTCTCAACTGCACAGCTCCACAAAAATGTCCGGATTCGGGTGTTGCGGAAGATCGACGCTGCTAGGCCCCCGGTCAGGATACACATATACTTGAAGTATGGGGCACTTGGCCGTCTTTTTTTTCGCAAACGAAAGAAATTTGTGAAGCTCAAACTGGGTGTAGAGATGGCCGATCTGCTTCTGCTGGATGAGCACATCCCCAGATGAATTCTGTTTGGGAAAGAGCTCTCCCTTCGGACGTCAGCCAGCTCTTTTTGTCCATCATTGCGTAATCAGGGACTGTATTGTATCGACTGTCAGGACTGACGACCCTTCCTTCGAATGTATATCTTGACCGCTAAACCCTAAACCCTAAAAAGAAAGGGGGAAAAACTCAAAAAAAGTGAAAAAACATATCTCGAACTCTCAACCACAAATCCTAAACCTAGGGCTCAGAGAATCGTCAACCTATCCAGCGGCCTAGCTCAGTTGGTAAGGCACGCAAGTGGCATTCAGGAGGTCTTGGGTTCAATCCCCATTGGCTTCATGTACTTTCCTGGGCAAGCTTGGCGCCCGCCACCTAGAGATATGTCGTTGGTCCCCCCGAGTGGCATTGAGCAGGGACTGCTGATGTTCATAGGGGGAGGGGACCGGAGGGGAGGCACAGTGACTGGCCCATCGAAGAAGCTCGGTCCTGATGCTACCGGCTGACCCCTGGCCGGTATCGCCCACCTGCTGTAGCAGGTATCGCACCTGCTGGGGGGTGCAGCCCCCGCATGTTCCCTCGTTGGAGGCTTGAGCACGGATGTGGCTGCTACGGGGTTCCCCGTAATACTATAGTGACAATAAAAAAGGCCTGAAAGGCCGTCCTGTCCAGATTCGACAGGTAATTGAATTGGTTGGGCTTAAAGAATTAGCCTTTAAAAAAAAAAAAAAAAAAAAGAATTGTCAACCTCTGCAGGCTGAAACTTCCTGGAAAGCTCCCCGTTGTTTGGTACGGCAGCAATTGCCCGCTCCAGGTGGTTCTCGTTTTCTATGGTGCGTCAACAAAAATGTTGCATATTCCATTGATCTCCTTAGACTCCAGGGAAAAGCATTCTCCAGGGAAAAGCATTCTCAGAGCGCTCCTGGTTTATCCTGCAGCGTACCGCGAACATTGTAGCTATAGCTGGCGCCAAAGTGTCTCCACTAAGGTGTGTGCTTGGGAAAAGAAGTCGTTGAAATCCAAAGTTCGAATATCAAATCAGGTCTGTGGGAGTTTCTCCCATGCGCTTGCCAGGTTTTGGAGGTCGGCCAACAGCTCGGATATGATTGGCTCTGCAATGTCTGGATAATGGACAGGGAACCAGCCTAAACAGGGAGTGGAAGTTTGTGAGTGGGCTTTTTGTGAAGTTCACAAATGCAAGTGGTTTAAGGAAAGGTGAATGGACGGCATCCATACGCTGGACCCGTTTTCCAGCAGGTGTTGCTCCCGACTAATGGATGGAGCCTCCCCGGGGGAGATAGAGGCGTCTGCTCATACCAGCGCCCCTAGCTCCCAAATGGGCAGTTTGAAAAAAAAAAAAAAAAAAAACTGCCAGTCGAACTACCCCTGTACTGTAGGTTTTTTGTGATGACAAGCACTGTGGCAAAGGACCGTGGCAAAATCTACAGTGACCCGCCATGGTGGAGGTTCAGAGGGAAATGGCTAGTTGGCCCAAAAAACATATGTTGAAATCAAAATCATGAAAAAGAAAACAACAACAACAACGAGAAATGCAGCTGGGCAGAACGTCCAAAGATGCCCTGCCTTGCTGGCAGGCCACGGATCTTACGAAGAAACAAACAAATAAGAAAAACAATGAAACGAGGACAGATTTGGACATAGTAGAGGTCAGATGCAGTCTGGAAAGGACTAGTCTGAGTGTGTCCTGAGTGAGGGCATTCCCAAGAACGTCACGTCCAGTCAGATACATACTGGGAAGTACCGGTGCGAATATGCCCTCAGTGAGGGCGTTCCGAA